ATATAAATAAAATATTAGTATATATATATATATATTAGTTTGAATTGCTATAATAATACTCATACAACATGACTATGGTCAAAAAGAGGTGGAGCATGTCAATAGCAATAGTGGCCCACTAATACTCTTAAACAAACCAGACCTTCTGACTGTTTTGCCAATCTAGGCCTGCAAATAAGCAAGGGTAGCAATATTTATATATGACTAGGAAAGTATATATGACTAGGCTTAAACATATTGTGTACTAGGAACAAGAAGCCTCTTGCCTGTGCCTTTCTAGAAGCAGAGTTCAGCACAAACACTTGCAATGGCAACATATTTGTGCATGCCTCAGAATGTTTTGCTTTTAATGGAAAGAGAAAAGTGGGCTTGTGGAGGGCCTTTGAAAAGAAAGGAAGTAAGCACGAAAATGAGTGCAGAAATCAGAAATGAGCATATTCCATAATTGTGCAATGAAATATTGACTTACTCTTGCCGTTCTTTGTATAGCTTGTTGACATTGTCCCAGTTGAATGAAAGCTCAGCTATTTTTTCGTGAACCTTCTCACTCTCCTTCAGGGTAGCAGACTGGAGAACTGGGCTCTTTTTGCTCTTAATGATCGCATATTGAGTTGACATTCTTCCAAGGATTTCTTTGGAGTTCTGTGGTAACACAAGAGAAAACAATTCAGTCATTTTTGAGAATAAACATATGTATTTATAAATGCCAAGTTGCTTTAGGATTGTTTGTGTCAAAATGGCTGCACATAAAGCTCAGAATATGTAATGCTACAGAAAATGGTTAGAGACTGCACATATAATAGTAGATGGTCAGAGACTATGGTCATGCTATAGGAGATGGTCTGAGATCGGGGTCACATTACTAGATACTTCTAGAGAGCCCCTTAAAAAACGTACTGAAACCACATTTAATGTTCCTCTCAGCAAGATCTATTAGAAAAGGTCAGAGAAAAAACACAAATAGAAAAAAGAATGTACTGCACAAAAGAAGTAAGCGCCTAGGCAAAAAGAAAAACGCTGACTGCTGGTGGGGCCTTCAGGCCGCAGAGTAAATACCAAAGTGACTAATGTTGGGCACCAGGGTTTTATGGGAACTCAAATGTGTAGCAGGAGCTGGTGTACAAATAAGGATTTGGCAGTATAAAATAAATGTTAATGCCACTATATCAACTTAAGTAAGATTTTGGTCATTTGCAAAGGTTCTGCTATCTTTTCTCAGATGGTCTGTTAAAGACAGTGCCATCTGTTAGATATGGTCAAAACTGACAAAATACTCTGATTTGTTAAATGTTATAAAAATAATCAGTATGCCCCTCAGTCCTCTTTACCACAATAATGGAAAAAGCAGACTTTGGATGCAGTAATGTCCCTTAATGGGCATAGCTGTTGTCAGCACAGCCTCTTCAATGTTGCTCATGAGCTTCCACCAAGAGCTTCCACCACCATAATGGCTGACCCATCTATATGTTGGTAGACTGTCTCTCTAACTGATACACTAAAGATAGGTGTATGAACAGGAGACAGGGAGTAGGTGTGTTCTTCTCTGATTCGTTAAGCTGTATGCATTCTCTGAATGAAGCAAACCAGCAGGGATTAATATTACTCTGACAGCATGGAACTAATGCAGCACTCTAGGGAAACATCTAAATACACACTTAAAATACATGAATGATTACTGTTTTAATTGCCTAAGATAATTGGTAATTTTGTACAGCCAATGTTGTGATTTACACACAGTTTCTATGCTGTGTAGACATTCAGGTGACAGTTATCTATTTGTGTCAAGCTAATCATAGATATGTGGAAGAAAATAAATGCTAGGAAATGTTAGAAAATTGCATAGATGCTGAAGATATCTTATATTAGCCCGCCCTCAGCCTTGCATGCTTATATTGCATATGTTGCATTTCTAGTTAATTCTACCAGGTCCAGCCTTTGCTGGGAATTTCCAAGCAGACCTACAGACAGTTCACCTATTTATTACTGGCAGTAACTGCTGCAGGTTCAGACCACCTAACATATATTGGCATCATAAGTCTAGTTTAAAGTGACACTAAACTCAGGAGTTAAAGGAGAACTATGAGGTTAGTGATTTCCACTCATCCTCATAGTTAGACCTGACCTGTGACAAAGAAGCTGTCACAGGTTGGCTCTATCGATCGGGAAGTGAACAGAAACATGCTTCCGATCCACTCACTTTCCGATCATCTCCCTGCAGTGAGTGGTGACTGTCAGTTATCGCTCCACGCAGGGATTCCCCCTTCCCCGCTCCAATCCTTCAGCACTGAAACTGAGCATGCACAGAGCAATCTCCCTTCCACACTGCACATGTGCAGAGCAATCTTCCTTCCATAATGCACATGTGCCGAGCAATCTCCCTTCCATAATGCACATGTGCACATTCAATCTCCCTTCCATAATGCGCATGTACAGAGCAACCTCCCCACTGCACCAGGCATGTGCTAAGGTGCATCATCATGGGTCAGCTGCAAGAACTAGAAATATACAGCTGGGCCCCATGATGGCAACACAAAATGGCAGCTTGGGACCTGGCGTATTGCAACAGACTGGTGGCTTACACAAGACAACACATGTATTTATTTATTTTTAGGACAATTCAGTGGACAAAATAAAAGGGGAAAACAATTCTAAAGGGGGAGTTTAGTTCCTCTTTGACAATAGAACTTAGCACCTCTATAATAAATGCAACATGAATTGCACTACATCACACTAATAACACATTAAACTGACAATTTTCTTCTCTCTGGGATATAAAATACCAGCTACTGATGAAAATAAATAGTACACAGAAGGTCTCAAGGGGCAGCTGCCCCGTGCCCAGTAATTGTTATGAGGCCCAAAGCAGCTGCCCCTTTTACCCCACGGCCCTGGCTGAGTGAATTAACAAATGGGGGGGGGGGGCACAGCTGGCTCTGCCTCTAGATAGGCAGAGCCAGCTGTCACTCATGCAGCGGGGTGGATCTCAACAGTATTATTGGAATTTGTCCCAGCTGTGGCGCTCCCAGTATATCGCGGGCAGTAGCCCGCGATAAACTGAGCTTTGGGTCACAGGGGGTTAGTATATGTCCTCCCGTGACCTTAAAGAGAACTATGGGGAAAAACACTTGCCCCGTAGTTCTCTTTCAAATCTTAAAAATGCATTCAAATACCTTAACTATTAACTGTAGCTTATTTGTGTATCAGCTGTAGATCCCTGGAGGGTGGCTACTTTTGTTCCTCATGGTCCCTGTGTGTGTTGTAAAGTAGCCACCGCTGCAAGCTCACTCCCTTGATGGACTAAAATCTCAATACAAACTAGTAAATTAAATGTAAGATTGTCCTCCATCATGAGAGTGAGCGTGGAGTGCTGGTTACTCTTCAACACACAGGGACCATGGGGAATAAAGTAGCCACCTTCCAGAAGGAAGAACAGTTTCAGCATGAATTTAGAGATGATTTTAGGATCTACAGCCGAGAGATACACAAATAAGGTACAGTTTTTGTTAAAAGTTAAGGTACATGAATGCATATTAAGATTCACCTCCTGAGTTTAGTGTCACTTTAAGTAAAGTGATGCCTTCCTCTTTGCAGTGTTCATAAACATGCAAACATGCACAAAATATGTGTACCTCATATGATAAGAAACACATCCCATGGTGATTTCAAAACCTAAAAGCAGAACTATTTATTGTTCAATGACAGGGTCAGGTTTGCTAGGAGCAGATAAAAATCACCATTATGGTTGCAAAAGAGTAATAGATGGTGATCCTGGCTGCTATTGATTTTCACTCATATTTTCAAGCCAAAATATCATAAATCACACCTCCTCAATTTACTATGGCTTGTGATAATGATAACAGAGTAATAAAGAGTTCCCACTATAGAAAGGGACTTGTGTCTCTGTTTTTCTTGCCCATTAAGGAAAATCCCACAGAAAACCATAATGACTTGCAAAGATATCCCTTAATAAAATTTACAGTCACTCGCTGTAGTTAATTTTAGTGTTTCTATGTTTATTATTAACTAGGGAGCATTATATAAACAGCATGATTATTTATGCTGACACATTTTTCTGTCCTTCAGGCCAATAAAAACTGTTAAGGATAATAATTTTCTTAGCTGATGTTGTCTATGGCCACGAGGGCAGCAGAACGCAATGACATAAACAGATTGTAAGCTTGCAGCATGGAAGACAGTTGGTTCAATGCATTTTCCTGTGCATGAGTGTCCTGGGGCAGTCACTTACTGCCATTTACTTTTATGCCTCAGAGAATGAACAATAGAGATGAAAATATTTATTATGGGATCTGAACATCTGACAATGGAAATTAATGAACAGGCCTTGAAAGCAATAAATCAAAACATGCCACGTTTTCCTCGTAATTGCTGGAAAGCAAAGGTTATAGTGTGCACAAAATAAAATAAAAGCTACTGTTGACATAGAATGAGGACAGATCACATCCTCATTACTTTTTAGTTTAGCTTAGGAAAATATACTGTGTAGGCAAAATCCTAATTGTGCTGTTCTAGTACAAAATGGCATATCACATAATGATACACCTTAGACACTGTGTCCAAATTTAATTGGACAACTGAATTTCTCTACAAATTGTATTAAATTGTCATTGTGGAGTCAGTTGAAGAAAAAAAAAGTGCAGTTTCCATACCATGTGCAAAATGTTACATGGATTTCTATTTTGAGCTGCTTTTGTGGAACAGTGAATGGGTCTCATACAGCAGTGAACAGCTTAAATGCAAGGGGTTCATTTTGAGAATAAAAGAAAGCAAACATATCCTAACAATCAATACTAGAGACCACTTCACCTTTACTTGGTCCCAAACTGACCAATCCATTTTTACTGTGCGGAATCAGTGGAGGATACAGGCTGTACAAAATGGTTTCTATATTGCTTGATCTCCTTCTCTACAGAACAATAAAAGGCACACCCTTTTATTTAGATGCTACCTTGGCCATTATCTCCTCCTATGGCCTGACAAACCAGCCTACCTGAATTTGCTTACACTGTATTGTGTTACTGTTACCAGACATAACACTATCTCTGACCTGTTTGCAATTTTACAACTGCCAACAGGAAAATAATACAATAGGTGCCCTTCTGCTTATGGGAAACTGCACGGAGATCCGTTGGTTTGCAGTCAGGTCTCATTCTATTAAATGAATCTTGCACAGAGGGCAACCAGCCACATTCACTGTGGATTCTGTAAAGCCAGTAGATTGCTTACACAGGAACCACACAACACTGCTGCAGCAACTCCCACAAGAATTAAATGTCTGGTGACATCATTCATTATGCAGCTCCCAGATCCCCAGCACAGATTACATGTCAGGAGACATTTATTGGGTGTGCAGAAAGCTCCACCCCTTTTGACTAAGCTTCACCTCTTTACTTCAATGTTGTGACTTCTATCCTTTTACACAACAGGAGTCAGGATATCAGAAGTGATTCCTTCACACAGGAAGCAGAGTAAGTTGTGAAGACATGCATGTGACATGGTCATAGGCCTGGATTCACACTGTAGTAATATAAAAATGCCTAATTCTGGCAAGCTTACTGCTTGATTTACTACATAGACAAAATACTTTAAAATGCAAAAAGCAGGGTAAAGGTATGCAAAAACAG